AAAAGCGGCAGCCATGTTTATGCAAATGAAGCGGGGGGGGATTAAATCCCCGCTTCATTTGCAATTGCAATGTGTCTAATTTGCATCCCTTTTACGGAAAAGAGATGCAGTCTAGACACAGCCTGGTGGAATTCTGTGGCCTGGCACGTCAGCTTCCCAGTAGGAGAAAAAATTGACATGGAATATATGTATACTCTGCTTATTTACTCTCACACATGCCATTCCTAGAACACAGGCAGATACAACCATCATGCAGGCAATCTGCTTCTCCCGACATTTCACCTCACCCATCTTATATAAGGTTCATAGCTAATGAAGCAAACCTGGCTGTAGAAAAATGTGGGAAAATATTGAAAATATGGAGAATTATAAATTTCAAGAGCTTTTTTCTGCCTTCCAAAATATTTTTCTACATTTCAAAATACAATATTTTTATGACTTACCGCATGGTAGCACTTAAAGGCCCCCAAAATATCTTCCTACCAAAATTATCTAAAAGTCTGGAACAGTATAACTGGATATTTTGTCAACTGAGGGTCTATTAACATCCTAACAAAACCAATGCACAAAACTAATCTGAAACCACAAGATCCCAAATAATATTTTCCCATCAAATTTATTCAGAAACACGGTAAGAAAAAGTCATATTGAAAAGGTTATTCCCTAATCTGCACACATATACTGTGTTATCACTGACCAGGTCACCTTATTCTGAAGAACTGTGTCCCTTTGGTCTCCTGAAATATAATCAAACTTTATTATCATGGTATCGTATGCACAGTGTGGTGCATCATTTTAGCATATGATTTTGTATAAATGATTTAAATCTGTCTCCCTTGTTCTATTTGCTTTATTTGATTTAAAATTTTCTCCTCATTTATAACTATCCATCTGTTTTCCTGAAGACATTTTCAGTATCTGTTCACTCTCAAATTAATTTTTCTTCTCTCTTCAACATCATCCAAACCAGATTCTTCTTTCCATTCGACCTGGCCTATAGGAGTAGTGAGTGAATGTTGACCTATCCACTTTTCTTTGGAGACAGATGCTTGACCTCATATGTTTCTACATTAAAAAAATACAGTAAAAGGACACTAACATTGCAACGTCAATCACTCTGAAATTAGAAAATGCCAAAATAAAGGTTTACAGTAAAATTAATATTCTCCTTATGTAGGTTATGATTCAGTCTTCAATTACTCGATTATTACAGTTGGTTGAAATTTGTCAATGGAAAAGTTCTTCTGAAAAATTATGGGGCTTTGTCAAAATTGGTACCTTCTGCGTGGAAAATATTGATTTTTTTAAATTCAAAAATCTGATATTTTTGGAAATTTTCAAACTTTAGTTTAGAATCAATATTTTAAATTCAAATTTACATTTGGATACCTGGAAATATATCGGAAGAAATTATGAAACCATCAGTTTCTAAGCATGGATTTGTCAAGAACAAATCCTACTAAACCATTTGATATGATTACTGGCCTACGATGTGAGGGAAAGAAATTGACTTGATAATTTTACTTTTAGAAAGGCTTTGGCACAGTCCCACAAAGCATTCCCATAAGCAAGGTAGAGAATTGTGGTCTAGGTCAAGTTGCTGCTGGAGATGCACAATTGATTGACAATCCATAGTCAAGCTGTGGCTTGCTGCCTAACTGGAAGGACATATCTAGTGCTGTCTTCTAGGTCAGTCCTAGGTCTGGTTTTAGACAATATTTTCATTCATAACTTAGTAGAAAGTATAATTAGAAAATTTGTGAGTGTCACCAAATTGGGAAGGGTTACAAGCACATTGGAGGATGTGGTTATAATTCATAATGACCCTGGCAAATTAGAGAATTGGTCAAAAGTCAACAAATGACATTCAGTAAAGACATGCGCAAAGATCACTTCTCTTAGGAATGAAAAATCAACTGAGCAACTACAAAATGGGGAATGACAGGGTTGGTGATAGTACTGCAGAAAAGGATCTGGTGGTTATAAAGGGATTACATTCAATGTGCTGTATCAGAGGGGTAGCCATGTTAGTCTGAATCTGCAAAAGCAGTGAGGAGTCCTGTGGCACCTTATAGACTAACCAAAGTGTTGGAGCATAAGCTTTCGTGGGCAAAGACCCACTTCATCAGATGCACCACCTGATTGGATCCACCTCATCATCTCTAGCCTGATTCTGGCCTGTACATTTATACCTGCCTGTGCCGGGGCGGAGGCGCCCCGCACTCCAGTCCCGCCGGTGGCCGCTTATCCAGCAGCCCCCGTGCAAGGAGGCGGGGTAGCGGTGTCGGGTGCACCACGTGGCGCGGGCCGACTGACGCAGGCGCTGGCCTACCAGCTATGCGACAGCTGTTCCCATGCGGCTGCACCGGCCGAACGCCCACGCACCGCCGGCCGGCTGGGGGGCGGCGCGCGGGGGGGCAGGGAGGAGCAGCGCCGGACCAGAAGCAGGACCACGCCGGAAGGGGCGGGACCCCACGGTCCGGGAGTCTGCGCGGGGATTTAAACCCCCGGAGATGCCACAGAGGGAAGGAGGGATGCGGACGTGACCGTTCGCCGAGGCCTGACAACGGAGGGAACCCAAGACCAAGAGGTGAGCCAGGAGGCAAGAGGATTTGACTGCAGAGAGAGGAAGTAGCCCAGGGCAGGCAAAGGGAGCTAGTGAGCTGGCGAGTTACGGCGGATCGCCCCGCCAGCCGGACCGGACAGCAGAGGCGCCCGTGTCCTTAGGGCCCTGGGCTGGGGTCCGTGAGAGGGGGCAGGCCCAGACCCCCCTCTCCCCGCGGTCGATGAGAGACCTGTTTACACTGCCTCTGGAAATTTCCACTACGAAGTGGGTCTTTGCCCACAAAAGCTTATGCTCCAACACTTCGGTTAGTCTATAAGGTGCCACAGGACTTCTCACCACACTCAGTGTGATGGAGTTGAAAAAAAATTTAATATAATTGTGGGTGTGTATTAACAGTAGTGTCACGTGTCAAACACTGGAGATAGTTGTCCCACACTACTTGGCACTGGTGAGGCCTTATATGGGTTACCATATAGAGTTCTGGGTGCCACTCTTTAAGGAAGATGTGTACAAAGTGGCGAGAGTACAGAGGAGAGAAATAAAAAATGTAAAAGGTATAGATAACCTGAACATGTTTCTTCTTGAGGAAAGAAGACAGAGTGGGGACCTGATAACATATTTAAAGACTGTTGAATGCTTTTACAAAGTGAGCGAATCCTCTTCATATCCACTAAAGGCAGGAAAAGTAATGGCCTTAATGTTCAGCCAAGAAGATTTATATTAACTATTTAGAAAAACTTTCTAACAATAAGTGTAGTTAAGTTCTGATATAAGCTTCCAAAGGAGGCTGTGTACTCCCTATCACAGGACATTTAAGAACAGGTAGGACAAACACCTGTCAGAGAGGCTCAAGTTTTACTTGGTCCTGCCTCAGTACCGGGGATGGACTGGATGATCTCTTCAGGTCATTTCCACCACTACATTTCTCTGATTTCTATTCAAAATGTCTGAAGTGTCTACTTTTCTAAATGAAACACTTCTATTTTTGTCTGGATCAAAAAATGTCAGTGTAATGTGTTTTGGTTTTAAGCTTTTTCATCAGAGACAGTTTGACATGTTAACTTCTGTCCCATCGTTGGTATGAGAACAAATGTGGTTCCAATGGAATTTCCCCTCAAACTGAAATTCTGTTTTGTGAACAGTTCTCATGACTGTGGTGACTGTTAGTTCTTTTGTGGATTTCCCCCCTTGCTTGGATTAACTGCACATGCTGCTGCTTCCCTACATCTCTCAAAGGGAGAAGAGGGGGCAGGGAATATGCCCCCAATGTTTGCCTAGATTATAATATAACGTGCTAAAAATTGTAGCTCCCAATCCTGAAAATGGAACTGTGTTAAATTGTTTGCATTGAAAACTAAGTTATATTTTTCTAGGCTTTTTCCATTTTGTCCGTGAACTTTCTGGCATTTTCTGACCCCTTTGCTGAGTGCATAAAAAAAAAAGCGACTGAAAATACTTTTCCAAGTATATTTGTTTATGAGAACATGTTATCAAACTGTACAAGGTTCATATATGATAGTGACAGATGCATCACATTATATTTTAACTTTTGTATCATGCATCACATTTGCCCGAGTCAGATTATTCACCCTTTAGGCAGAAGTCATCTCTTCTTCTGAGTTGTATAATATGTCTATGAAATCTATCAGTATGAGATCTTCTAAAATACCTGTACCTAGCTGAACTAAACTGAGGCAGATCAAGGCACTGGAGTTCAGACATACTCCCCATATAGAGTATATATTTAATTCCTATTTTAACTAGGTTTCTTTTGGCCCAAGCCTTGCAGCCTGGTTTCATTTGCCAGTGCATATTCCCATTAAAGTCCTTGGGATTTGATGGCGGTGCAGTGATCTGGCTGTGCAGATCACATTTCAGGACTGGGGTCTTAATTGATGTTAGAGAAGGAACGGGCGACCCAGGAACGGATGGAGTAAATAGACCTCTTTATTGCAGATACTCGTTCCCCGCGGACCCCAACACAACGTTCTGAGTGAGCAATGATTTGGCACCAATTACACTCCTTTATCCATTTTAGTATGTTAATTTACACATCTATCACTACTTCCCCTAAATCCTTATTTAGTAATGTTAACTCCTATACAGTAGATATTAATAGGCAGGTGGTGAATATTATTAGACCCACCCCTGTTTACTGTTTACAGGATTTTCAGTTAGATCAGCACTTTTCTACATTACGCATTTCCCAAATTAGCAGGGTACAGAGATTACAAAGGATGTGACTGTCATGATTATGAGGGTTAGCCAGCAGCCTGGGGATTAAGGGGTTAACTACACCTAGCTAGGTGGAGTGACCAATAGGAATGTAGGTGGGACTTTTCAAACTGGGACAAAGGAATTTGGTTTTTTTTTCTTTTCTCCCTTTTGTCTCTCGGAGAGTTCTCTGCAGCTACAGAGAGGGACAAGCATGTCTCTCTCTCTCCAAGACACCATTCTTCATTTTCTGTAAGTAGGGTAAAGTTTAGGCAGTTTCGATAGATTTTATTGTTTTAAGGATTGGGTATGGGATCTGAGATCTGGCACTGTTTAAAAGATGTTTTGGCTTTTCTTTGTAACTAAGTTCTAGGCCCATGGAGTTTCTCCATGAGTATATTTTGTTACCTTCCTCTCTAGTCATTATACTTGCAACCAGAATATTGTTGTAATAATAAAAGTTCTTTCTTTTCTTTTATTAACCTGGCAGTGGTTAATTGTGTGCCTTGATTTTTATTTTAGGGGTAAGATTTCCCAAATGATCTTTCCCCTGATTTCTTTATCAACATTTGGGTGGTGGCAGCGGAAGTTTTATTCCCAAGATCTAGGTTTTTAAGATCTTGGGGGGAAGTTTTATACCAAAGCCTGGTAGATAAGGCTTTGGGGTACACTTGCTGGCCCCCACTTCGGCATTTATCATGCCAGAGTGGGGAAGGAGCCATGACAGTGACCCTTAAAGTATTTTTGCAGAGCAAGTGAGAGGACAATACAAAGAAGACACTGTTCAGTGGAACTATCTTTCTATGCTGCAAGGATGATGGGAAAGAGCATATTTATACATCAGAAAGGACAATACCTGCTCTGGCCAGACCCTTTATCTATCTTTCCAGGCTGCAAGGATGAAGGGGGAAAAAACATGTTCAAAGGACAATATCTGCTCTGGCCAGATCCTATCACTATTGCGTTCCTAGACCCTTATTAATCCTTATATATCCCAACAATAGGTAAAAACTTGTGATATACAAAACTGGGCTCAGTTTGATTTGGGTATATACCCAAAAGTTGTGGGATAGATGTTCAAACAATCTGAAGCACTTGAATGTGCAGAACTGCAGAGTAAATGTCTTAAACTATATCAGTTTCTGGTACTTTCTGCTTCCTGTCAGTCAACAAATATTGCAAGCACATAGAGTCCATTTCTCTCAAGGTGAAATCCAGATGTCTAGATGAAAGATGCTCTCATTTCATGCTGCTTTTACTGTTAATGAGCTGAGAGTAGCAGGTTTTGTTGGAAAGATATCAGTATAAGTTTAAACATTCTTTCCGAAATGAACTACTAAGGAGTAATTTCTTCTAGCGGGTCTTTAATGCTTTTGTTTAATTGGATGCAAATCAATCATAAAAGAAACCTGATTTTGTTTTTAAATCCCTAATTTTACTTTGATTTCTGTTTACTATTCAGCAACCTAGATGATTAATCTCCATGTGTGTGAAAAAAAGGATTTCTTTTATCTCATTGATTAGTACCTCAATTAACTCATTTAGTGCATTTTCCAGCTATATCAATTCAGAAAGTAACCTTATAAACAAGCTATTTTTATATCCTGGGTGTTAATAAAGTATTTTAAATGAGTGGGAAATCTAGGTCTTATTGGTGGAGTATTCCTGGCATCAAGTGCAGTAGCTAATGATGCCACTCAATTAACTTCTATTGTGTCACAAAGTTAGCTTTTGTCTAGGAAAAAGCACATCATAGATCCTGATCCTGCAGTTTCATGCACATGCTAAATTTTGCTGTGAGTTGTCTTGCTGAAGTCAGTGGCACTACCCATACTGTCTAAAATGAATGTGTACATTTTTGCAATATCAGACCTATATACCATACTAGAGGAGTGTTTTACCTTACAGTTCAAAATTCAATGAGATCCTCACCCCATAATAAATAAAAGATGGGAGATTTTTGGTATATCTAAGTTCTAGTATCTTCATGCACATTGCTACTGAATTCTCTCACCAAAGAGAGTTTAACAAGGAGCATATATACAGACTGTACCGCTATAAACTGGGACTTTCTGGTCCACCAACATCCATGGTCCTGCTAGACCACAGATGTTCCTGGACAGAGAATTCCAGGGCCAGGAACCCAGTGGCAGGGGAGTAGGGGTCATTGTCCGGCAGCCCAGCCAGGGCCGGAGCCAGTGGCAGCAGGGCCATTGTCTGGCAGCCTAGCTGGGTCCAGAGCTAGTGGCAGGAGGGCTAGCATGTGGCAGCCTGGCAGCAGAGGGACTCGTGTCCGGCCAGCTGGATGACAGCAGAGCTGGACTCTGGAAAACCCTACGGGGGCCAGCAGCCTGCCCAGCCAGTCCGGAGGCACCGGGGTGAGCCTGGCCCAGAAATGGAACTTGTGGTAGTGGGGGATCAGCAGGCTGGTCTATACTACACACTTTTGGTGGCAAAATGGACATTTTTCTGACAAAACCTGAGTTACGTCCACACTGCAATCGCATTTTTCCAAAAGTAAATTGAAAGAACAGAGAGGTTTTTCTGGCGTTGGTAATCCTCTTTCTCTGAAGAAGAAGCCTTTTTCCTAAAGAACTCTTTCGGAAAAAGGCGTGTATGGATGGGGAAGAGGGAGTTTTCGAAAGAAGAGGAAAAAGGAAAAAGCACAGGTGCCCTGGTGGCCACTTCATCCATAGTAATCACAGCTTAAATGTGAGATAGCGTCCATTCAGTGTGGACACTATCTTTCAAAAAAGCAGATCACTTTTTCAATGTGCTTTTGCGTGTGAACGCTCTCTTTTGAAAGAAGGTTTTTCAGAAGATCTCTTCTGAAAAAAGGTTCTTCCAAAAAAAGCCTGCAGTTCAGACATAGCCTGGGAGGCTGGTGACAAAGGGCCTCTCGTGGTCCAGCAAATTCCCTCATCCAGGACCAGTCAGGACCCGAGGTTGTCGGACCAGGGAGGTCCAGACTGTACATTCATTTTCTTTGCCATTTGTTGCTCTTATATGTATATCGGAGGCACATTTTCCCAATATTTACTGTATTTGGGCAATTTCATTGCAAAGTTCCTGACATAGAGAACCACATTTTTGCCACAGTCTTCATCAGGCCTCTATTTTTGCAAAACTGGGACCATAAATTTACATCTGTAACTTTGCAGGTGCAAAAAAGAAGCTATGTTTTTAAAAGTCTGGCCCATATTAATAAATACATGTTTATAATTAAACTTCTGTTCCGCCTACATTCACAAAGAGGGTTCACTGTTGTGATGCTGACTGTCACTATACCTTACTTTTAGGTGCCTGGGATATCATTGGGTTTCATAAACCTGTGTTAGGGACTCAGGCTTCCTATAACATGAATGGAGACAGAGACTTGCCAAAGAAGTCACAAAAGCCAACATGCTAGGCAGCTGCTCACTGACAGTAGCCAGTGACAGATGTCAAGGAAAGAGGTGGATTTTAAGCCCTACCCATTCAGGGATTTTGGCACTTTTCCCTGCTTCAGATGCTCAGGTACAAACCTTCTGTTAGGGGCCTAAGGTGCTTCTTGCAAGAAGCTCATATGGAGGAGGATGATTTTTAGCCCAGTGGTTAGGAGATTTACCTGGAGAAGTTACCCCATTCAAGTCCTCCCTCTGTCCCAGGAGAACAGTTTGAACAGGGAATCTGCCTCTCTGATGAGTGCTCTAACTGCTGGGCTACGGGATAATCAGATGTAGAACTCCCTCAAACAGTCTTGTTGATGCTGTTCCACTTCGGATCAATAGTCAGTCACTGGAGCAGAGAGACTGAATCTTGGGCTTGTCACATTGTGGGTGAGTGCCCTAACTGTTAGTCATTGTCACGTTTGCTCTGGCTTAGAGCACACCTACCAGATTGGGCCCAACAGGTAATCTAAGCAGTGGAATATCTATCTTCTACTTGTCTGTGAATAGCACTGGCATTAGTGTCTGGAATTCTAAAGCAAGGCTTCAGTACATATATTCAAAGACAGAAACACAGATGCTAGGGAACTCTTATTGAAAAAAATTGGTCTTTGAGGTCTACAGGTTTTGGTGGCATCTGAGGGGGGGGGGGCAAATACCAGAGGCATCTGTATCTGGGACTTAAATGTTTAAAGTGGTAGTTAGGTACTAAACCCCCTCTAGTGTTTTATCATGTTCTGCATTCTCCACAGGGCAGTGCTGAGGTCCCTAGAAAAGTGAACATCTTCCACTGTGTATGTAAGCAGAAATAAACCTGTTTAAATTTACACTTTAATCAGAATTATTAATTAGATTTGGAAGAGAGCACAGAAAACAGAGAACATCAAATGTCTCTCATCAATATAAATCTCTTGTCACTAGAACACCAGTCCTGCATCAGATTCTCAGGGGTGGATTGCAGTGCATGTGTGCAGCCTTCTGGAAGCCTATGGGGCTCCAAATAGACTTAGGGATCCTGATATTTGAATCATAGATAATAATATTGCATTACATGGTGGTACTCACTATGAGATGGTAGAGATAATTCCCTGAAGCTTCCTTTAGCAGGCCCTTGCTGAACTAATAAAAGCCTCATAATGGAGAGATTTGTTTCTATTATTTAGAGATGGACAATGCAACATAATTAGGCTTTCCTTTGACAAAATCTTGTCAACCAGGTTTTGGTTTACAAAAGAAGGACTAATTTTTGGTCTCTGGTCTTCCTTTTCTAAAACTCCCCCTGAAACACTGAAGTTCAGTAGGTTCAAGAATTTTAAAACATGACTGAAAAAACAAGGTAGATTGGTTTGACTTTCATTTCCATTTTATCTCAACTAGTGACTTCAGAGACGACAGAAAAATGTGCAGATTTGGCTTTTTAAAAAAATCATCATTTACTGTGAAGGGTACCACCTGGTGTTCATAATGACAGTACATGATATCTTAATGTGGGGGAGAAGGAGAAGAAAATGGACTGCTTCTCACAGCTCTGCACCTCCTGTCTATTCTTTCTCATCTCCTTTCATTCATTTCTCCTCTCCCTGGTCTACTCATTTCTCCTATAACCAACTTCATGTGTTTCTTCCCTTTTATCATCTTATACTTGGCCCCTTGGCGCACACTCTCATCTGTGTGTGTTGAACACTGAAATCCCAGCCAAGTTATTCACCTTTCTGCCCTGTCTGCTCCTTTCCTTCTCTTGCATAACTGGATGGACTAAGCAAAAATACACAAAACCAGTCTACTGTAACCCAAGTATTGCAGTAATGGTAGTTAAGTGCTGAC